GGGGGGGGGGTCCAGCTAGTGCTACACGTCACATTATATATACAGAATACTCCAATTTGTCCATAAGAACGAAATTAAAATTACAAAACCAATGACTCATTCTATGATACCATATGTCCACAAAGTATCGGACTTTATTTTTTTCCACTGTAAGCAATGGCCAAAGGGGTGGGGAAACTGAGCGTAGTGGTAGAAGGGACTTTGATGCGCATGCGTGATTTTTTGCTGACTCGCAACACTGCCAGATAGAAAAGTGGTGTAACACGTATCCGTCGCATTCTCGTTTCGCTCAAGATGACAGAACGCCTGGAGCAGCGATACTGCATTAAGTTTTGTCAGAAACTTGGGGATAGCCAAGCGGAAACAATTCGCAAAATTCAGCAGGCTTTTGATGATGATGCAATGGGGGTCACTCAAATTAAAGAGTGGTTCAACCGCTTTAAACATGGCTGTATGTCGGCAGATAGTGAGCAGCATTCCGGGAGACCGTCAACGAGCTGAAATGCTGATGTCATTGAAAAAGTGCACACATTGATCATGGAGGACCATCGTTTGGCCATCCGTGAAGTTGCTGATGAGGCTGGGATTAGCAGAGGTTCCGCAAACACAATTTTAATTGAGGATTTGGGCATGAGAAGAGTGGCGGCAAAATTTGTGCCCAAGCTGCTTTCGCCGGAGCAGCAACAACTCCGCCCTGAGGTCCCGCAGGACATGCTGGAGTGTTCCAACAGGGATCCTGAGCTCCTGAAGACTGTGATCACTGGTGACGATTCATGGGTGTACGGATATGGCCTGGAAACCAAGGGCCAGGTGATACTGACTGTTTTTTTTTTTTCCGATTACCAGGGTGTTGTGCATCATGAGTACGCATCACTAGGCCAGACTGTCAATAAGGAGTACTACCAAGAAGTCCTCTGACATCTTCATGATGCAGTTTGGCGCAAGAGACTGGAGCTGTGGGAGGCACACAACTGGGAGCTGCATCATGACAACTCCCCACCTCATTCATCACACCTGATCCATGGTTTCCTAGCCAAACATGGCATTCCGCAGGTTTGCCAGGCTCCCTATTCTCCTGACATGGCTCCTTGTGATTTCTGGTTGTTCCTGAGATGGAAGACACCACTAAAAGGCTGCCATTTTGACAGGCACGAGGACATCATACAGAATGCGACGGCACAGCTGCATGCCATTCCAAAAGAAGCCTTCCAGAATTGCTTCCAGCGATGGAAGGACTGCTGGGCTAAGTGTGTGGAGTCACAAAGGGCCTACTTTGAAGGCGATTAGGTATTGTAACCACCCAGATACAGAACTTTGTTTTCTCGGCCCAAGGTCGGATACTTTTTGGACAGAGTAGTATAAAACATCAATCTAAAATTTTTATTCTTGTTTTATGCTATAACTTCTGTTTTATTGTATTTTTTATGTCAAGCGTTTTATATAATTAATAGTATTGTATCCAATTTTACTAGTACTGCAGTTCAGTGGTGTATATATGTTAATCGTGTATTTGCCTGATGATGGCTATTGATAGCCGAAACATGTAGCAGAGCCAAAACTGGGCACTGATCTTGATATTTCTTGTGTTGTGACGGTTATAATAAAAAGGTTGTAAACTACATGACACCACATCCCACCAAACCATGATTTTAAAACAAATATCACTTTGCAAAAACACAGGAAAATTTTAGACATGACAGCAGATATGACATAGATCAGTATGATAAAGTCTTATGTAATTAAGTCTATTAATGAAAATTTGCTGCTGCTCAGAATATCATAATAAGCAATGACACACAATACATACAGCTTTGATGTGACCCTGAACTTGTAGAATGTCTGAACCATGGTCCAAGGTGATTTGTTCTTCTTCCCCCCCACGGTCTCTTTATTGCATCATCTTCATTTTCATCCAACTATAAAAGATATACAATTGCCTCATGATCAGCGACACACACAAAAAGACACAGCACCACTTTCTCCATCCTTCTGTTATTTTCTCCTTTTTATAATATAACTATCATGCCTATGCAGAAAAATCTGCATTTGTTCATTTGTTCATGGTTACTTATACTGTCAGTTCCTCAGAACTCCAGCCGTGGTAAAGGGTTCATACCATCTCTCGCGGAGCAGTCTTATCAGCTTACGTCAGCTATTCATGGTGGTTTAACATCTCCACAGCCCCAGTATTTTTCTTAAGGAGGAAATGATGGGAAAGAAACAGACTTGGATTTGAGCTATAAATGTATAAGCAAAACTAATAACTCCAATGAAGACTGCTGTTATAAGAGCAATTTTTGTATTTTCCAATTTCTTCTGCAACACACTGTTTGGGAGAGCTAGGAAAAATCAAAGAGATATTTGGCTAATAAATGCATGGAGAACACACAACAGAAACGCCTACATTGCACATGCAGATTGGCCATGACTGACTCCAGATCAGTAGTTATATTAAACACATTATCCCATATTTTCTGACAAATGACAATAAAAAAGCTTCTAACTTTCTTATTGGCCGAAGCCATGAGCTACACATCTACATGACCTCTAACCTGCATATTTTAACAGTTCTTAAACATGATCCAGAAAATATAAGACACCACAACAAGAATGTTACTCATAGTGACCTGGCGGCCAGAGCATTTTGATACCTGGCAATGCTGCCATAAAAGCATTAGCCTCATAAAAACAATCCAGACTCTGGAAAAGATGCAGCACTGATTTCATGCAAAATTACATCATTTTATTCTGTATGAGAACACAATCTCATTCTGTCTGAAAATGCTCATTTGCTACATATTTCAACAAGACTTGGTCATTCCAGTATGAAATCCAGCTGCACTAGGTACTACATGCCTGCAATTGCTGACTAACCTCATATAAATGCAAGTGACTACAGTGCAGTGGCATCTGACGCAGGGGTTCAGTTCTAAAGATGGCACATAAACCCAAAATTGCTTATAGTCAGGATTAACCTTGAAAATCCCTTAAATCGAACATAAAGTACATACTGTGACATGTTGACCTCTGAATGACGCCCCTCCCCCCCCCCCCCCCCCCCCCCCGCGAGCCCCC